CGGATAGTTATCTTGGGCATAGCATTTTACCAAATCACCTCATTCTTTGGGGCAACACGTGAGGAACACAAATGCGAACAAGCCTGAATGGTCCCCAGGACATATGCAACTGAAAACTCACACCCCAGAAGTGACTCGAACCCATACTCCCAGAAGCAACGCATCTGGTATGTACAAGACGCCTTAATCCACTTGACCATCACGACCGGACATAATGAGGTGATAGCCGAGGCTATTTGAACCACCCCACCGCCGGCACTCGGATAGTTATCTTGGGCATAGCATTTTACCAAATCACCTCATTCTTTGGGGCAACACGTGAGGAACACAAATGCGAACAAGCCTGAATGGTCCCCAGGACATATGCAACTGAAAACTCACACCCCAGAAGTGACTCGAACCCATACTCCCAGAAGCAACGCATCTGGTATGTACAAGACGCCTTAATCCACTTGACCATCACGACCGGACATAATGAGGTGATAGCCGAGGCTATTTGAACCACCCCACCGCCGGCACTCGGATAGTTATCTTGGGCATAGCATTTTACCAAATCACCTCATTCTTTGGGGCAACACGTGAGGAACACAAATGCGAACAAGCCTGAATGGTCCCCAGGACATATGCAACTGAAAACTCACACCCCAGAAGTGACTCGAACCCATACTCCCAGAAGCAACGCATCTGGTATGTACAAGACGCCTTAATCCACTTGACCATCACGACCGGACATAATGAGGTGATAGCCGAGGCTATTTGAACCACCCCACCGCCGGCACTCGGATAGTTATCTTGGGCATAGCATTTTACCAAATCACCTCATTCTTTGGGGCAACACGTGAGGAACACAAATGCGAACAAGCCTGAATGGTCCCCAGGACATATGCAACTGAAAACTCACACCCCAGAAGTGACTCGAACCCATACTCCCAGAAGCAACGCATCTGGTATGTACAAGACGCCTTAATCCACTTGACCATCACGACCGGACATAATGAGGTGATAGCCGAGGCTATTTGAACCACCCCACCGCCGGCACTCGGATAGTTATCTTGGGCATAGCATTTTACCAAATCACCTTGCTATGCCCAAGATAACTATCCGAGTGCCGGCGGTGGGGTGGTTCAAATAGCCTCGGCTATCACCTCATTATGTCCGGTCGTGATGGTCAAGTGGATTAAGGCGTCTTGTACATACCAGATGCGTTGCTTCTGGGAGTATGGGTTCGAGTCACTTCTGGGGTGTGAGTTTTCAGTTGCATATGTCCTGGGGACCATTCAGGCTTGTTCGCATTTGTGTTCCTCACGTGTTGCCCCAAAGAATGAGGTGATTTGGTAAAATGCTATGCCCAAGATAACTATCCGAGTGCCGGCGGTGGGGTGGTTCAAATAGCCTCGGCTATCACCTCATTATGTCCGGTCGTGATGGTCAAGTGGATTAAGGCGTCTTGTACATACCAGATGCGTTGCTTCTGGGAGTATGGGTTCGAGTCACTTCTGGGGTGTGAGTTTTCAGTTGCATATGTCCTGGGGACCATTCAGGCTTGTTCGCATTTGTGTTCCTCACGTGTTGCCCCAAAGAATGAGGTGATTTGGTAAAATGCTATGCCCAAGATAACTATCCGAGTGCCGGCGGTGGGGTGGTTCAAATAGCCTCGGCTATCACCTCATTATGTCCGGTCGTGATGGTCAAGTGGATTAAGGCGTCTTGTACATACCAGATGCGTTGCTTCTGGGAGTATGGGTTCGAGTCACTTCTGGGGTGTGAGTTTTCAGTTGCATATGTCCTGGGGACCATTCAGGCTTGTTCGCATTTGTGTTCCTCACGTGTTGCCCCAAAGAATGAGGTGATTTGGTAAAATGCTATGCCCAAGATAACTATCCGAGTGCCGGCGGTGGGGTGGTTCAAATAGCCTCGGCTATCACCTCATTATGTCCGGTCGTGATGGTCAAGTGGATTAAGGCGTCTTGTACATACCAGATGCGTTGCTTCTGGGAGTATGGGTTCGAGTCACTTCTGGGGTGTGAGTTTTCAGTTGCATATGTCCTGGGGACCATTCAGGCTTGTTCGCATTTGTGTTCCTCACGTGTTGCCCCAAAGAATGAGGTGATTTGGTAAAATGCTATGCCCAAGATAACTATCCGAGTGCCGGCGGTGGGGTGGTTCAAATAGCCTCGGCTATCACCTCATTATGTCCGGTCGTGATGGTCAAGTGGATTAAGGCGTCTTGTACATACCAGATGCGTTGCTTCTGGGAGTATGGGTTCGAGTCACTTCTGGGGTGTGAGTTTTCAGTTGCATATGTCCTGGGGACCATTCAGGCTTGTTCGCATATATATATATATATATATATATATATATATCCCATCCCGGATCCTCTTCAGCAGTGAGCGAGAATAATGCTGTTATTGTTGGTTTAGATTAAGCAATTCGGAATAAAATTACCATATAGCACTGGCTATTGTAACACCTATCCTATTCCCTATATTTTCCTTACTACTTTCATTTAGGAGTTACATAAAGTCCATACTGCTGAAGTGTGTAGCTCCTGGGACCCCGCACACGACACTGGACCTCACCAGTGTTCTTTTGGTCGTTCCTACTGACCTTACATTAATATGGTAATATGCCTTTGATACTGTTAACCATAACTATCTCTTGCTTAAACTCCACCATTATGGAATCCGAGGCCTTGCTCTGGACTATACCCGGTCTTGTCTTAGTGACAGACATCAATGTGTAGCCATCAATGATATAACCTCTCCCACTCTACCATTAACCGTAGGAGTGCCACAGGGCAGCATCCTAGGATCCTCCTGTTTCTTATATACATCAATGATCTGCCTAATGTCTCTAACGTGCTTAAACCTATATTGTTGGCTGATGATACTGTCCTCATCTACTCAGACCCCGACCCACACTCATTAAATAATGTTGTAAATACTGAATTTAAAAAGTCAACCAACAAACTCACACTAAACATAGAAAAGATCTACTACATCTTATCTGGAAGCAAATCAACAAATGCAGTTCATCTTCAGATAGACAATGTTAACATCAGCAATAAAAATGATGGAAAGTTCCTTGGCCTATACTTAGACAAGAGACTCAACTTCAGTACCCACATACAACACATAACCAAGAAGGTCTCTAAAACAGTTGGTATACTTTCTAAAATCAGATATTATGTTCCAAACTGTATTCTCCTCTCACTATACTATGCACTAATCTATCCCTATCTTACATACAGTATCTGTGCATGGGGTTCAGCCACTGCAAACTACCTCAAGCCCATCATCACCCAGCAAAAATCTGCTATCAGAACAATAACAAACTCTGTTTTCAGACAACACACAGTCCCTCTGTTTAAATCCCCAAACATCCTAAACATAAACTCACTCCACACATTCTCTTGGGTCATTTACATTTACAAAACCTTGTTCTTAAATACAAATCCTGATCTAAAACTCTTCTTTGACAGATGTAATAGGACTCATTATCACCACACCAGAAATAAATATTTGTTTGATATCCCCAGAGTCAAACTTTATCTGTGTAAACACTTTATGCAAATAAAGGGACCCAGTTTATGGAACTCACTCCCTAGTGAATTAAAAAGCTGTCAAACTTTTGCCTTATTCAAAAATAAAACCAAAAAGTACCTGATTCCATCCTCATAGTTTCCTACCTTGTGCTTCAAACCCACACTGCATCTAGTGCTACTCAATCCCCCAATATATGGACCTAAGCTATACAACTTCACCATTGTAATCACTGCTATCATCTTATATCATGGTTGTTATATTGAATGCATATTTTACTACATTATACCTTGAAATACAATAACCCTCAAATAATGCTACAATGTACCCGTTGATAACCCTCAAAATTTATATTAATGTATCTACTAATCTTTGTCAAATTTTCTTACAATGTACCTGTAAACATTTTTTCAATTTTGTTAGAAATTACCTACTTACAATTATCTGTTAGATTAAGGACCTGCCCCAAAACGCTATGCGTGTTAGTGGCTTGACAAGAATGTAGAAACATCAATGCTATGTACTCTCATAAACCCATTGTACCTTCTTGTACAAATATATAAATAGTAACATAAGACCGGGAGGTGAGGAGCTCAGCGTGAGTGTTGCCTCAACAAAGTCTGGTGTGTGAGTGGCGTGCTTGGACCAATCGTAGCGCGTCCTTGCAAAACGGCTTGAATTCCACTTCGCGCTGATTGGTTCCCGCGCACGACATCCTGAACCGTTCCCATGACAACGGCTTGTATCTCCCTTCTGGAAAGTTCTAACGTTGTCTGCCGTTAGCAGAAATCACTCCCCCCCCCACCTAACTTCTTAGCACCAGCAAAATTTAACTCACACTGATCCTACCCTACCTTCATCTAGGTTCATTACGACCTCAAGAACGGTTAAATGAATTAAAAAAGGGCAAGAGAGCAAAAACAGCTTTGGTAATGGCTGGGCCACATCCCAGACTGTGGCTGAGCCACATCCCAGACTGTGGCGTGGGGTCACATCCCAGACTATGGCGTGGGGTCACATCCCAGACTGTGGCGTGGGGTCACATCCCAGACTGTGGCTGGGTCACATCCCAGACTGTGGCTGGGCCACATCCCAGACTGTGGCGTGGGGTCACATCCCAGACTGTGGCTGGGCCACATCCCAGACTGTGGCGTGGGGTCACATCCCAGACTGTGGCTGGGCCACATCCCAGACTCTGCCTGGGTCAGATCATCACACCCAACTAAACTTAACAAGCTTACAGATTTAATATGACACAAAACGTTCAATTTAAAAGAGTAAGACGCTATAATATTATCACCTCAGAGTGCAAGATGAACCAAGATATCCAGTTTACAGATACAGGATAACAATTTCCTCACGAGCTTAACTACGCCACACCATAAACAATAACACACAGTAACTCCACCACAGTTCTCTGAGAGAAGGGCTTATAGCCAGCAGGTAGTGAAGACTGACCGGGGGACCGTCCAGGATAGATATAAGCTTCTCCCTGGTGGTGAAGACGGGCTTGGTCAGGCCGCCCCTCGCCGCCGGGCTGAAGAAGTACAGGGAGCGGCCTCCGACCTTCGTCCTGTGAGGGGAAGAAGAGACATAACACTTGTCAAACACCGCACCTTGTTTGGCTCTGACATAGGGCTTGAGGCCCATCACCCACGGTGGGGGATGGGTGTTAAAGCAAGAGTTTACAACTACTTTAGTCCTGAATATACACACACACAATCTGCTGGAAGCTATACTCATAAAAGAAAAAAACCAGCTTAAATATACCGAGTATAACTACTTGGATACCTTGCCTACGCTTAGACCCAGACCTCGCCATGCACCACTGGATATCGAGAGGTCTCACAGCCTTACCCCTATTGTGTGGCTTCCATCCCCCATTATGCCCCTATTTCTTTACTGATGTGTGATTACTTCACTTTAATTACCTCCCCCCCCCCGGTTGCATTGTGCAGTTGCATCCTGGTGGAGGGTCAGTAGTTGTACATTGAAAGGTGGAAAGGACCTCGAGACCAGCCTAAACATACACACAGGCTGCCTGTCCCTTAACCAAATGAATTAATTATGGAAAATGCTAATCATATGATTTGCAAAGCTTTATTTTGCAACATCAAATCTTTCACCACTCTTAGTATATTTTAAACCAAATCTTCCCTGCGACATCTGAGGTCCCAATGTTCTTCTCTTGCCTTTTCTAACAGCCGGCTCCAAGTCTCTGGCTGATGCCGGATTTGTGGTTGATGTCTCTGATGCGTCACAAGAGTGGAGCCGGACCTCGGAGCTGCTCGCACACATACTTTATTCACACACAAAAGTCGTTTGATATTTTGGTTAGAGTCTGCAGGCACCTTTCACCACCATTGATATCATGCATCCTTTCCATGCATAGAATGCAGTACGCACGATATATATATACAGTATATATATATATATATATATATATATATATATATATATATATATATATATATATATATATATATATATATATATATATATATATTTATATATTAGTCCAGGCTGCTTGTCTCAAAATCTTAGCTCTCTTAAAGAAATTTTCTTGATTGTTGCTTTCTTCTGTTTTTCATCCTGTCACTTCCCCCTCTTCCTTAGGTCTCCTTCCACTTCCTCTTTCTCTTCCTCTTCCTCCTCCTCCTCCTCTTTCCTGCTCTCCCACAGTGCCCCTATCACCCCTCTCCAGATAAGGGAGGCGATGCCAGAGGTGTAGTTATTACCAGTCATTTTCATTACTCTCAACATCGACCTCCTCTCCTCAAACCTATCTCCGTCTTTCCCTTTCTCCAGGGGCCCCCTGAGTGCCCCTTGCAGGTCTTCCTTTGTGCCCCTTTGCAGGCCTCCCTTAGTGCCCCCTTGCAGGCCTCCCTTAGTGCCCCCTTGCAGGCCTCCCTTAGTGCCCCCTTGCAGGCCTCCCTTAGTGCCCCCTTGCAGGCCTCCCTCCGACCTCTCCTCCATCCATGCAAGCATCTATCAACTCTTTCCCTCCCTCAAATCAAGCCTCATTCTGCCAGTCTCTCACGCCCTCCAAACCTCCCGTTACTCTCCTATCGTGCCTCCATGCCTCCCTCCCTTCTGTCGCTCCCTCCCCTCTGTTGCTCCCTCCCCTCTGTTGCTCCCTCCCCTCTGTTGCTCCCTCCCCTCTGTTGCTCCCCTCTGTTGCTATGCTCACTTGTGACTAAAGACCACATGTTCTGTGGTGATGTGGCGAGGGACGAGGCGCTCCAGCAGCTGGTGGTCGTAAGGGCTGCAGTTGACCACACTGGCTGGAGGCCTCACCTCCTGCTGCTGCTGCTGCTGCTGGGAGCTGCTCATGTTGTTGTTGGAGTCGTTTTTCACTGCGATTCTTTTGTTATTAGAGCTATTGATCTTGTCTGTGATGTTGCAGTGAAGGGGGCTGTTGGTCCTGCTGCAGTGAAGAGGACTGTTGGTCCTGCTGCAGTGAAGGGGGCTGTTGGTCCTGCTGCAGTGAAGGGGGCTGTTGGTCTTGCTGCAGTGAAGGGGGCTATTGGTCCTGCTGGCGATGCCACCAGAGAAAGTCCCACTGTTGTTGGGGCTGTAAATCTTGGCAGGAACACTACTGTTGCTGCTGCTGTTGTTGCTGCTGTACATTCTGCCGATGCTGTGCTGTACGTCTTTCTGGAAATAAAAATATCATATATCATATATCTTTGGAGAGAGAGAGAGAGAGAGAGAGAGAGAGAGAGAGAGAGAGAGAGAGAGAGAGAGAGAGAGAGAGAGAGAGAGAGAGAGAGAGAGAGAGAGAGAGGGTAAGGGGAAGAGCGAGAGTAATCTCTGGGCACCACCGGGTAGCCACTGAACATAATGTCATCAGTCGCGTACTGAGAAGTGTCATCAACAGGTAACTCGACAATACGCACACATTACCACGTATTAGCGTATCACTCGTATCTCTTAAGTCCATCACGAAGACACCAAAACCCACACCCTGCACTTTGTGTGTAACCTGCAAAATATTGACTGTGACCGCTATTTTCAGCTTATTAGAGTGTTTACTGTCACCGTGGGTCACGCTATGGTCACGCCACCATGTTCCTCGTGCCCACCCATCCACAAAACAGCTCGTATCTCGAAGGTATTGCTGAAAAATACTGGGTAAATAGGCATCTATCTTGTAAAATGGCCGCCATCTTGGAAAAATATTGAAAATTCTTGGCGACTTTTCATCTGTAATGGCTTTTAAAGTTGTTAGAAACATGTGTGGCAAGTGTATGACAACCAACAGCTTAGCTGGGATGTGTATAACATATGTATTACATGGTCTCTCTCTCTCTCTCTCTCTCTCTCTCTCTCTCTCTCTCTCTCTCTCTCCCTCTCTCTCTCTCTCTCAGATAATGTAATTCTGCAACTTGAAAGTATTAAAGTTCATCGTTATCGAGGTTACCATAAAATTGAACGATTACACGTCGAGAGGAAATATAAAAACTCTATGGAAAACACACCTGCAATTCCATTTCAGATTTCTTTTTTTTTTTAACTGTACGGGGGTCACTATAAATGTTAATATTTCCTAAAGCATGGCACTAGGGCTGACCACAACTATGACACATACCCCCTCCATGTTTTATGTTGGATAGTTGAGAGAGAGACTGCCTCCAAGCGTCAGCTCTTCTACTCTGACTGACAGACTAACAGAGATATAGAGACATCCTATTTTATAGATATATATATGTTTGTAAACATAGCATTTACATCAGTGAAGTAATTTACATTGTAAGCTGTATATAGGTTTGTACCAATATATGTCTCCAATTAGATGTTGTAAGTTACATGTTTACTTTTGTCTACCTGCTGCTGGCTCCGGGGGTCCAACGTTCCTGCGGCCCGGTCTCTGGCCAGGCCTCTTGGTGCTCTGGTCAACCAGGCTGTTGGACGCAGCTGCTCGCAGCCTGACCTGGGTAATCCATAAGCTAAACAGAGTACTGTAAATATATAAATACCAACAAATATTTCTTGCTAATATATATTTAATATATATTTTACCATATCTGACTGACAAGTAATTCATTCATTACGTTAAAAAACCCACTTATTCCTTTTTGAGAAAGTTTTGTAAATATATATTAATGGAAGACAATTAGTGTCAGTCAATCCTTCTATTGAGGGATTCTATTCTTCAATAAAGGGAAAAAGGATGATTTATTGAGAGTATGGAAGAGACAGGGATTCCATACATAGTGTATGGAGAGACTGGGATCCACACACAGTGTATGGGAGAGACAGGGATCCCATACATAGTGTATGAGAGAGACAGAGATCCCCCACAGGGTATGGGACAGAGATCCCCTCACAGTGTATGGGAGAGACAGAGATCCCCTCACAGTGTATGGGAGAGACAGAGATCCCCTCACAGTGTATGGGAGAGACAGAGATCCCCTCACAGTGTATGGGAGAGACAGAGATCCCATACACAGTGTATGGGAGAGACAGAGATCCCCACACAGTGTATGGGAGAGACAGAGATCCCCTCACAGTGTATGGGAGAGACAGAGATCCCATACACAGTGTATGGGAGAGACAGAGATCCCCCCACAGTGTATGGGAGAGACACAGATCCCCACACAGTGTATGGGAGAGACAGAGATCCCCTCACAGTGTATGGGAGAGACAGAGATCCCCACACAGTGTATGGGAGAGACAGAGATCCCCTCACAGTGTATGGGAGAGACAGAGATCCCATACACAGTGTATGGGAGAGACAGAGATCCCCCCACAGTGTATGGGAGAGACACAGATCCCCCCACAGTGTATGGGAGAGACAGAGATCCCCCCACAGTGTATGGGACAGACAGAGATCCCCCCACAGTGTATGGGAGAGACACAGATCCCCACACAGTGTATGGGAGAGACAGAGATCCCCCTCACAGTGTATGGGACAGACAGAGATCCTCTGAGTCCCATTCGTGGAATTGTTAGCTTAAAAGCAACATTAATATCTCATTCTATCCCTGACCATTCCGTCCAGTATGCACTAAATAATAAACATATGACTTTATTTTGATATATTTTGTTATTTTATTTATATATACAAGAGTTCCTGCTATTGAGAAAGATGAGGAAAGGGAAATTGATGTGCTCAACAACTTAACAATTCATTAAAACATGTACAATATATATATATATATATATATATATATATATATATATATATATATATATATATATATATATATATATATATATATATATAAACAGGGGCATTACTAATTATACACTAATGGGCCAGCCAAAATCCCAGTTCCAATCAGCAGGGACGAATGGGTATTAGTGCACCAGAAACTTATTAATTAAATCAATACTTCCCAGTAACCACTTAGCCCGGGTACATAGCTAACCTACAGGAAGGTGTTCACTGTAACTCTACTAACACACATCAGCTACAAAGCCTCGCTACACGAGACTATGTTGATGAATCTTGTGGCCACCTTTCCTGATTACCTAACTCCATCACAATAACCTAACTCAAAAGGCAAAGGAAAAAAAATTATCAAAACCCAATAGACGGTAGAACGACGGTTTTGCGTTATGCAGGTCGGTGTTCAATCCCCCGACCGTCCACAAGTGGTTGGGGCACCATTCCTTCCCTCCGTCCCATCCCAAATCCTTATCCTGATCCCTTCCCAGTGCTAAATAGTCGTAATGGCTTGGCGCTTCCCCCCCCCCCCCCCTGATAGTTCCATTCCCGTCCAACCACAAGTAGATGAGGGACAAAAATAAAAGCTTTCCTCCTCGCCACACGGAACTAAGCGTATGGCGGCCGCGTGTTGAAGCTCTCAACATCGGCAGATGCAACATTTCCTTGCCTCAGTTATGACAAAAATCACAGCTGCCACCAGCGTGTGACGAGCCATAAGTCAGACAAGCCATACGATGAGAGGCAAACATTTCACAAGCTCACTCAATGATATGGAGGAAAAACAAAACATAAAACAATTCTTTCGTGGCTGTTGTGAAAAATTTCCCGGGGCAGGGGTGGAAAATGACAAAAAGATCTTATTCAAGAACTGTTTAAAGAAATTGTATCGTCTGGGTCGCTACATGAACATAAAGGTTCATTTTCTGGATAAGTCTCCTTGATGAGGTTGCTGGAGGTCTATGTGAGGTGAGTCAGGAGCCAGGTGAGGGTCTATGTGAGGTGAGTCAGGAGCCAGGTGAGGGTCTATGTGAGGTGAGTCAGGAGCCAGGTGAGGGTCTATGTGAGGTGAGTCAGGAGCCAGGTGAGGGTCTATGTGAGGTGAGTCAGGAGCCAGGTGGAGGTCTATGTGAGGTGAGTCAGGAGCCAGGTGGAGGTCTATGTGAGGTGAGTCAGGAGCCAGGTGGAGGTCTATGTGAGGTGAGTCAGGAGCCAGGTGGAGGTCTATGTGAGGTGAGTCAGGAGCCAGGTGAGGGTCTATGTGAGGTGAGTCAGGAGCCAGGTGAGGGTCTATGTGAGGTGAGTCAGAAGCCAGGTGAGGGTCTATGTGAGGTGAGTCAGGAGTCAGGTGAGGGTCTATGTGAGGTGAGTCAGGAGCCAGGTGGAGGTCTATGTGAGGTGAGTCAGGTGGAGGTCTATGTGAGGTGAGTCAGGAGCCAGGTGAGGGTCTATGTGAGGTGAGTCAGAAGCCAGGTGAGGGTCTATGTGAGGTGAGTCAGGAGCCAGGTGGAGGTCTATGTGAGGTGAGTCAGGTGGAGGTCTATGTGAGGTGAGTCAGGAGCCAGGTGAGGGTCTATGTGAGGTGAGTCAGGAGCCAGGTGAGGGTCTATGTGAGGTGAGTCAGGAGCCAGGTGAGGGTCTATGTGAGGTGAGTCAGGAGCCAGGTGAGGGTCTATGTGAGGTGAGTCAGAAGCCAGGTGAGGGTCTATGTGAGGTGAGTCAGGAGTCAGGTGAGGGTCTATGTGAGGTGAGTCAGGAGCCAGGTGGAGGTCTATGTGAGGTGAGTCAGGTGGAGGTCTATGTGAGGTGAGTCAGGAGCCAGGTGAGGGTCTATGTGAGGTGAGTCAGAAGCCAGGTGAGGGTCTATGTGAGGTGAGTCAGGAGCCAGGTGGAGGTCTATGTGAGGTGAGTCAGGTGGAGGTCTATGTGAGGTGAGTCAGGAGCCAGGTGAGGGTCTATGTGAGGTGAGTCAGGAGCCAGGTGAGGGTCTATGTGAGGTGAGTCAGGAGCCAGGTGAGGGTCTATGTGAGGTGAGTCAGGAGCCAGGTGAGGGTCTATGTGAGGTGAGTCAGGAGCCAGGTGAAGGTCTATGTGAGGTGAGTCAGGAGCCAGGTGAGGGTCTATGTGAGGTGAGTCAGGAGCCAGGTGAGGGTCTATGTGAGGTGAGTCAGGAGCCAGGTGAGGGTCTATGTGAGGTGAGTCAGGAGCCAGGTGAGGGTCTATGTGAGGTGAGTCAAGAGCCAGGTGAGGGTCTATGTGAGGTGAGTCAGGAGCCAGGTGGAGGTCTATGTGAGGTGAGTCAGGAGCCAGGTGAGGGTCTATGTGAGGTGAGTCAGGAGCCAGGTGGAGGTCTATGTGAGGTGAGTCAGGAGCCAGGTGAGGGTCTATGTGAGGTGAGTCAGAAGCCAGGTGAGGGTCTATGTGAGGTGAGTCAGGAGTCAGGTGAGGGTCTATGTGAGGTGAGTCAGGAGCCAGGTGGAGGTCT